AAGGATCGACTTTAGGTAAGAAGTCGGTAAATAAGAACCTAAGTAGGTAGGTAAAAACCTAGGTAAGTACGTAGGTAAGAACCTACTCACTGTTTGATAAAATAAAGTTCAGTTATGTATTTCTGTTGTTTTATTTCTGATTAAACGCGGTTGAACTATCTGATCCCATTTTGTAGATGGTTATAGTAAGAAAATATCCTTATCTCATCTACTGCAAAAAGGTCATAAAAGAAAAATTTTTTGAAAGAGAATAAAAGTGCTTCTTTTGTTCACTGTGAAATTGCTTAGCTCAGACTGGTTTAGAATAAGAAGATTTTTAAGGTCATTTAGATTAATTGTTCGAGGGCATATTTATTGCAAAAAAGTACGAAGAAATTCTCAATGGAGAGCAAACCATTACTGAGAGGAAAGAAGAACACATATTTCAGGAAGATTTTGTAACTTGTGATAGCTCACAGTCTGTAAGTGAAATATCAATCATTTATTCAATTTTAACTATTCTTAAATAACAGATAACCATTTTGAAGGAGGAATTGGGTATTGAGTACTTTGCTTGGTCAGATAACAGTTAAGAGCCCAATTCCATTGATAATCTTTGGATTATTAAGAGTGCCAAAATAGGAAAGCAAAAGCTAACAATTATAGTCAAATTAAGGGAAACCACAAAAAAGTAAGTTTTATGACAAACGAATATTTAAAGATTTTATATAAATCAATGCTAAATAGGGTAAAATATGTAACTGAAGCCAAATTAATTTAAAAAATTTATTTAGCGTAAATGAAGTACTTCACTAGAAAAAATTTGTTTTTTGTTGAGTATATGCGTTTTTATAATTACAATAAGTTTTTTTTATTGTGATTAATTCAAATTATTAAAAAACTGTTAAAACTAGTGTTATTTAAAAAAATTAATTGTTCCTAATTAACAATGTTATATAAAAACATTTGGCACTTTTGTTTGAAACTGATTAATTTACTACTAAAAAAATTAAACCATAATAATTAAATCGTAGAGCAATGGAGAGAACAACATACCAGAGAAGTACGTATAAGTTTACAACAGACGTTAACAAGCAATGGGGAAGATCATTAAACTGAATAATTGTGTGTTACAAGGTTCAAATAAACGTCAATGAAAAATCTTAGTCACTTGTGAAATACTCTTTAATGCCACGAAAGAAAATCATTTTTGTCAATTTTTTCGACGGATGAAGAGATATGTATTTATTTTGAAAACTCAAAGTGAAAAGTCGTTACTTTCAACAGGTTAGGCCGGACCTTCAACACCAGGCTGAATCATTTCGGCGAGAAGACCATGCTTTGTGTCTAGTGGGACTAAAGTGGTATCATGTATTATGGATTTTTGTAATATTTTTTATGTAAAATGTGAACAAATAAGCATTTTCTGATACATAAATCCGCTCATGCCAATCGAAACGATCCAATCTTAATTTCATTAACAGCAGTAGTTTTAGCTGCAGTGAAAACATGATATTAACGAAGGCAATGGAAACATACTATTACCTTGTATATTGGATACACTTACTAATACTATGGTATTTCTATCGTATCTTTCTAAGTTAATTTCGAGTAATTCTATGTGAATAACAATATTGCATTAGTCTACAAAATGTACTTATTTTAATTTTTTCTTATGAGTGAACACTTGCCACTTCAGCAGCCAGGTCGACGGATATATGGCCATCTATTCCAAACATAAGAGCTCTGACTTAATACACAGAAGCAAATCAGAGGTATCTAAGTTAATATTTATCTTTACAGTGCACTGTACTATAGGACGGCATGGAGCTAGACTTGATGTTGCCTGTGGTATCTGCTGTAATGCGTGGCTACTAGTTCTTGAAGAACTCTGACTTAATACACATAAGCAAATCAGAGGTATCTAGGTTAATATCTGTCTTTACAGTGCAGTGGACTATAGGACGGCATGGAGCTAGACTTGACCTTGCCTGTGGTATCTCCTGTAATGCGTGTCTATCACTTCTCGAAGAAAGGACACCAGAATATCTGATGTGTCTATGTACAGGTTCGATCAGAACTTGGCTTAAGTTTCTGGAGATTCCCTACTTTAACACACTCGGCGATATCTCTAGCATTAGCATTGGCCAGATTCTTGCCTCTGGCTACTTCTAGCTTGATCTTCTCTCTACTACCCACTATTATAAGGTTTTGTGGATGCAAAACGGCCTTTTTTAGCTAATTGAGGAGGACTCGTTCTTCCCTTCACCACAACTAACTAACTAACTAATCTTTTCTTAAAATAGCAAATAAAAGAGCATTTTTTCTGAGACAAATAGTATATTTATTTAATTTTGTAGTAAAGTTTTTATAGAATTTTCCCATTCAAGCCACCTAAATTTATATAAATTTTCCATAATTATATTAATTTTATTTGTTTTTCTTTGTTCATCATTCTATAAACATTTACATATTAATTTACACGTATTATTAATACATTTCCTTGCAATATTTTTTCTTTCAATTTTACTTACTTATTATGTAATAAATATATTAAATTATTTATTTAACTTTTTTTTTTTACTATAATAATATTTTTAATAAATTTCACATAAATAATTTGTTTACATAAGCTACATTCAAATTTTGTTTGGTTTGGTTTGGTTTGGGTTTTTTTTATAATTACATTTATTTATTGTTGCTTCCATTTAAATTTATATATTAAATTAATGAGTTAATATATTTATTAATAATATTGTTACTTGCTTAATATCAACATTTAATATTTTTTAATGATCAATTTTTTTATTAATTACATTAGTTTGCTAATTCGCTCATAAAAAAATGAAAATGAAAATGAATAAATAAATAAATAAATTACATGTACAATCAATTAACGTGAACGAAACAATAAAAGCACAGGATGTGTGTTACACATACACACACATTTACATGTGTACGTATGCACACATACACACACTAATGAAAAAAGTTTACATGGAGCTTTAAGCGTTGGGAAGCTTTAATTAAATTTTCACGCAACTTTAGTGGGAGATTCCGGCAAAGTGCGGCGGTGACTCCCACAAACGAATTAACTGAACTTAAAATAATTTGGCATTGCGCAAAAATAAAGCAGAGGAATATTGTCGGCATTGCGAAAATGTGCAACCAACTGTTCTGGTCGAAGAAACTATTAAGGAAACAGGAAACATCAGAAGTAAAAGAAGTGGTGCTGTAGTGGTGCATATTGAGGTCGGAGGCATATTCATCACGACTACTGTCAGTTGCATTTTCAGCTCCAACCACACCAAGGGCAACTGCAGAGACAGCAGCACTTAGACACTTTGCATGTTCCTTTGTTTGCTTGTTGTCGTCATCGTCAGCATCGTAATATTGTAGACTTCCGGTGCCGCCTATAATGCTGCAATTGGCGACAGTGCCTTTATCACTTTTACCATTGGGAATAAAAAAGAGAGATTCCTCTTTCGGTTGCATTGTTATTGACCGTTGTTGCATGTAATCTTCATGCATTTTTATTTTTATTGCTCTAGCCCCAATTGCTGTGCCAGTTTTTAAATTTGTTGCTGTCGTTGTTGTTGTTGGTCTTTTGCTTTTGTGCATCCGGCAGACATGTTGCAAAATCAGCAACGCAAATGTCGCTGATTTTATTTTTATCATCGTCATAGCATCGAATTTAATTTGCTGCCTTTTCTGTACATGCAAGCGTAAAATAAGTTTCGACAACACAGCCGCCATCGCGCGACAACAGGATACGGCCAATGCACACACAAGCACCAAGGAAGGACAAGCTGCACTCAGCGATGGCATTGCATATGAACGCAATGCGCTTTGTTCCTTCTCCAAGCACTGGCGGAACTCTTTGTAGTCAACGCGCGTTATGGCGCAATAGTGATTCAGCATGCACACGCCCTCACACTGGTCCGTTTGATAGCGCACAGTATTAGCACGATAGTATCTGAAACGAGCAAAAATAAAGGATATTTTAAATTAATTCATTAAAATACGTACAAAAATAAAATACATAATAAATTGAAAATGCCGCATAAATCTTCAAATGAAATACAAACTGCTGCAGTATTCTATTGAATATTTTTCAATGCTATGGTATGTAAGAGGCATACTGTGGTGGATTTATTTCGTTTGTGGCACTGTTTATATGGACTCAGATGTCGCGGTATATAATCAAAGGATTTTTAAATATGGTAAACACAGGTTGGTAAGGAGAAAGGAACAACATGAAATTTTAAAGTTTAAAACAATAGAAATGGGGTTCATATTATTACAAGACTGAAGTTCAAACTCTTTTATTAATTTTCTAACATAATCATTAAATGTTAACTGGAAACATCTCCCATTCACATCTACAATACGGCGATTTTTGTAATCGTATTTCAGTGTTGGAAATGGTTAGAGAATGTATGTATATAGATTATTCCTAAAGATTGGTAGATGTAGTTGTGGAAAGTCGAAAAAAAATACTGATCATTAATTTATGTAAAAGGCCATCTAACAAAATAGATGTACATCACAACATCTTTCTCTAATCTCTCTTCATATTCCTTCTTTATGGTAAAAACAAGAGTTTAAAATGCCACCGATTGGTAGGTAGAGAGAATCCGAAAAAAAGACGGTTGTATTTAATTTGTATTTGTTGTATTTAATAGACGGTTTTAAAAATGTAAACTAGAAAAATAATATTAAAAACGATAAAGTAACCGACATGTTAAAGAAAAGTAAAATTTGGATAATTGCGACCTGTACATACCGTCTAAGTAGTCTTAACCCATATAATATGACATGAGACTAAAAAAATAAGCTTTGCATATAAGGGAAATAAAAATAGGGGCAGTTAGGTCTTCGAAAAACTAAAAAATAATATTAAAATTGATCAACTAAATGAAAAGACAAAGAAAAATAAAACACAGGTTTGTGTGACCTACACATACCGGCTAAGTAGATCTATATAGCATAAGGTTATGAAAAAGAATAAAATTGGCAGAAAGGTGTATAAAGAGAGGAGCAGATAAGGCACTGACTACCTTTAAAAGTAATATGAAAATCATTTAACTGAACAAAAAAACAAGGAAAACATAGGTGAGTGCCACATACCGTTAAGCAAAAGGTTTAGCAAAAGAAGAAGATTGATTTTTTAATGGACGAACATTTGTCTGTATGTGATGTTTTTTAATGTAATTACCTGTCTGAATATTCTTAATACATGTATCAGTATATTGATAAAAAATACTCCTTTGGTATTCTAAAGAACTTCGCTGGTATCATTTAAAGCTATACGTTTCGATGTAGTATATAAATTGGAGAGGACAGCTGAAACTGTGGTCCCTGACCACCGTGGTTCTTGATTTACACAACTGGTCGGGTGCCACAAGTAAAACTCATTAATTACTGTTGAAAAAGTGTCAGATGGTGTCTACTTGATTTTAGTTGCCTTTCATGACAACCATGCCTTAATACGGAAATATTCTAAGCCTTTTGTCGCGAGGGTGAACTCTACGGTGACACAATAAAAATTATAGTGTCTTTCGTAGGAGATCTGAATTCGCCAGAGAACACGATTAACTGGAGTAACGATAAAGCATAAACTGAAGTATAAGATAGAGACAAGATAAGATAAAGTATAAGTTGTTCGATCAAAATTTTTATTTTTTTAAAATAATATTTGAAAGAAAAACGAATTTTAGAAACTTTATCTTTTAACTTTAGAAATTTTTATCTTATTTTATTGGGGTCAGTTAAGGGTGAAGTTCTATATTTAGAGTAAGTTATGTCACCATATTGGACTCGCTGTAGAAGTATAATACAAATTCCTATCCGAGCTGTCGGGAAAGTGATCATTAAATAGTTCTAGTAAGCGACTAGCAATAAATATAGTTCGAAGAGACGCGGAGCTTCGCCATCTGTATACGAATAATGTATTATAGACGGATGAAATAACTTTAAAATCTACCTGTCTGTTTGTAGGAGTACAGATCTCCTTCTTCTAAAGATATATATTTGCAAGAGTGACAATGGAGTTTATCTATGTGTTATTTAACCAAAAATAATGGATTTTATCTATGTATTATTTAACCAATAAAAAAAATTAATAAATTATCAATATATAATTTATTAAAAAAAAGTCATTTTAATTAATTCAATAAAATTTGATTTTAAGGTCAGTTATGACACCCGTGACTATTGTACATAACAGAAACTTTTATTTTTAATAGAGAGGTTTCGCACAGTAGTGAATTGCAACAACAAAATATATAAGTTTGAACATACAAGTCATACATGACTTTGGGTCAGTTGGCTAATAAACACTGACTCTGAGCTTCAAATTGGGTAAAGTTCAAGCCATGGTACTTGCAGTCTCAAAAAATTATTGAGGAAGAATTTATTGTAAGCAATAATTCCTAGACCACTGATGATGGGTTTTTGGCAATAGTCGAAACAAACAAAAATTCAATTAATTTTAAATAAAAATGTTTGTTGTTGCAATTCACTACTGTTCCAAACCTCTTCATTTAATTAATTTATAAAATTTTGAAAATTTCCAGTTCTATTTGTTGTATTTTTTTAATTTTCTTTTTTTTTTTGTTTGAAGGAAATCGTTAAATGCGATAAATGCGATACCACCAACAATTAATTACCAACACACATACGAATACACACACACACAGAAAACCACAAAAAATGCAAATACATGCCACATTGTTAATGTACTCCAAATATAGGCCACACGAATCGCGAACAATGTAGATAACACCAAAAATGTGTACCATGTACACCCAAAGGATTTGTAACTCTTACGCCCCGTAAGCCACAGAAGCTAAACAATAATGCGTGACAGATAATTTGTTGACATGCAAAGCAAGTACTGAGCAATGAGCACCAAGCCGCGAACATTCAACTTGTGTTCATTTCGTGGACCATGACGGTGTGGAAAAGCGCAGACACAAACCATTTTTTTCTTTAAAGTGTTTCTGGCCTACAATTTACACGAAGCGTGTAAGGTATGTATGCAATATACACTGATTTCTCATATATCCTTTTTAACTTTTGATATGAATGGGACGCCTTTTATGTTGCAGAAGAAACATAATTTTATTGCTTATAATTTATGCTTCTGATAATCGTATAAGATGGTCGAAAGATAATTATTAAATATATTTTCTTGCTAAAAGCTGATATATTAGTTAAGCATGAATATTTGTATTTTCTGCAATTAAACTTAAAATTTATAGTTTATTTTAAATGCAAAACGAATCATAGTAAATTAAATAATATGAATAATATGTATTTAATTTTAAACTGAATGATTTATTTTGATTTATAGTTAATCAACCTTCTCGACATACCACAGAAAGGCTTCTTTTTTTTCTGTTATTTACATAATATAATTAATTTATTTTTTATTTTCATGTTAACACTTTGTTTAATATGTCATGAAGGAGGACATTAAAATAATGTAAATTGCCCGTGCGTGAAAAACAAACACAATTTTATGTTAACAACAACAGATTAACAATTTTATTAACTACTCCACTCCATTTTTAGGGCCCGGGCCTTTGCACACAAGGACGAAACTGTCATTTTGGACAAAAACAAAACAATTTTATGTAGTTCGTAGGCGAGCATGTGTGTTCGGGTTCGAGGTTAAGCTACCGACGGAAAGGGAAACGCTCTTAATGAAGTTGCATTTACGGATACACGACGGAAACATAAAACTTAAATACAAATAAGGTTTTGCCTAGTTCATGCTTTTATATATTCATATATTCCGGTTGAATAATATTTAAGTATTTTAAGTTATATGGAATAGGGAAATAATTAAAATTATAGTTAATTATTTTTTATTTAAAATTAATTGCATTCACTTTGTTTAATTTTGTCGTTTGTTTTGTCGTTAAATAAAAATTATTATTTTTAATAATTAATATTATTGTAATTATTTTTTGAAATAAAATTTTATTAAAACTAATAATTCTAACGCTCTTAACAGTTTCTTTTTAATGCTTGAAAAATTAAATTTTATAATATCCTGCCATGGAAAAGATATGAAACAAATTTTAAATATTATATAAAGCGTTATCCATTTCGTGGTCGTGATTTAGCAGTATTGTTTCAGTAACCTATATCAAATAAAAGTGTCATGGAAGACTATATTTGTCCCATTGAAGAGGTCAAACTCAATTATGAGGGTAAAGAAAGATATGGGCCGTGACTGTCGTGATACCAGACATAAATTTTAGGTCAAGTGAAACTCACTCAATACCATTTACACTTTAAAGAGAATTGGGTGATGCCTATTGAATTTATATATAAAATATATATAAAAATATATATAATATATAAAAATATATAAACAAAAAAATAAATATAATATAAACAAAAATATATATATATAATACTTAAGCCCTGTTTGCTTTGAAGCGCATTTTTTATATATTATATAGGATCTCGCTTGTATTCTTATTTGATATTCCAATCTCTTTGTATATATTTGTATATATTGTACAGGGTCTCGGTTATATTTTTCCGATATCCAAACCTTTTGTCCAACTCACGTATGCTATATAGAGTCTAGCCCGTTTTTTTATCTGATAATTAAATCTCTTGTCAAATTTGTACATATTCTATAGGGTCTCGATTGTTTTTTTATCTGATATCTCAATTGTTTGTCAAACTTGTACATATTATATAGGGTCTCGATTGTTTTTTTATCTGATATTCAAATCTCTTATCATGATTCTATTTATTCTATAAGGTCTCAGTTATGTTCTTATCCGATACTCAAATCTCTTGTTAAACTCGTACATTTTATAAAGGGTCTTGTAGATCGTATGTACTATATAGGGGCTTTGTTGTATTCTTATCTGATACTTAAACCTCTTTTGCTAAACTGATGTGCTAAGACAAACTATTTGTGTAGGTATATATATGTGTTAAAAATGTCGATTATATTTTATTAAATTTATAGTTCATAACTATATAGCATTCAGTCCCTGTTTCTTTATTCCTACTGGTCGATGACCTAAGCTATTTCACCATAAAAGAGTATTATAAAAATATGAAATTTGTAAGGAAGTAGTTAAAGAAATCTATAAAGACTTAATGAGCAATTTAAGGATATGCAACATGTGCCCTAGAGCGATACGGAGTGCTTAAAAGAGAGACCGTATATATTGCTCGATAAGAAATCAACATAAAACATACATAAATTTGCATAAAAACAATCAAGAAATTTACGATATAAGTAAGCAATACAACATAACACACATTTATACGTATGCAGTTAACACTACACACACATCTTTATGCCTGCCGATGAAACTTTATACATACATACAAGTACACTACAGTGAAGGAATATAAATAAAAGTGCAAAGAAAAAATTGCTACATATTTATGCATACATATTGGCTGGCATACAAACGCATGCACATATAAACTTGCGAGTGAGTGTTTGTTTGTATGCTAAAGTTTATGAGTAAAGTCTATCACCATTTCAGCATGAAAACAATGTCAGAAAGGCATCAAGAAGAAACGCAATTGAAAAACCAACACTAACAACTAAGGAAATATGTACGAGGATAAAAAAAAATATTCATTGCTACTCCACCTAGCAGTAACGAGCGTAGCGGAGCGCAGAACAGCGCAGTAATGACAAGCAGAAATAGCTTTCTAGCCAATTGCTTTTTCGTTGTTGATGTATTATGCCGTGAGCAAAAAGCATACAACAAACTGATACCTTCTCTGCGAAGTACAGAACCAACTACTACAGCATTAACGATAACAATAATAATACACCGAAAGGAACACAAAAAAAAAATTAAGGAAAAAAAAACAAAGAATACAACAACAATATAAACAAACAAATATAAGTGCAATATTCTGTTTGCTGTTGACATTCGCCAAGTAATGCAGTTGAAGGAAATAAGTAATAAAGACAAAACAAAGCACAAAAAACAAAAATTGAAAAATATGTAAAGAAATTTGTAAATAAAATTTAAAAACAATGTAAATAAGCAAACAAATATCACAAGAACATAAAATACCAAAATTGTGTAAAAAATAAAAATGTAAAAATAATGCAAGATAAAATATTGCATTAGCTTGCGAAGGAAAATAGCAAATAAATTTACAGAAAATAACTTTAATATTAAAAATAAAGAAAACAACAACAGCAGCTACAATAATAACAACTTGAAATCAACAGCACAAAGTTAAATAACAGAGCAGCAAAGAGCAGAGCTCAAGTACTCGTGTGGGTATTTAAAAGACCAACAAAAGCTATTATAATAAAGACAACAACAGTAGCAACTGCAATAACGGAACGCATAAAGGCATTCCAACACACAAACACATTCACTCTAAGTGCTAGCAACATCAGAGTATGGAAAGGCAAAAACAAAAATTTGCATCAACTGCAGGGTTGTATTCCATAAAGTTGTATTGATATCGATAGTAAAATAGTAAAATAGTAAAATTTTTGGCAATATTTCATCAAATTGCAATTGTTTGTTTACTGTTTGTTATTTGTTGTTTGTTGTTTATTGTTTTTTCTTTATAGTTTACAAGTAATATTAATTTCTTTCATACTGAATTTTAAAAATACACATTTATTTTTTGTGAAAGCATTTTTAATAAAAATTTATAACCAAATTTTATTGAGATATTTACTTTTTGCTAGTAGAGTGTGAAGAAATGCTAATAAAAGTTCGAATAATCAAAAAATAAGTTTTAATTAATATAAAATAAAGTTAAAACAACCATATATAAAAAAAGAACTAAACAAAAATAATGTAAAATATTTTTAATTTAATTTATTGACTATTATATTCTAAACATACTGTAACATTTTCTACATTTAAGACGTCTTCAGGTTTCAATAGAGAATAAATGAATATATAGTTAATATATATAGTTAATCTAGTTCCCAAGAATGCCTTAAGGCAACCTACAATTAAATTGCTGTGATAGTGTCCATAATCATTACAATCACACTATTAGCGACTTAATATTTTTAGAAACCCCCAAATTTTAAATATATGATGCCGAATTTAAAAGTCTTTATTTACAATTTCCATGAATAAATATTAAGTCTGTTTCACGAGCTACTTGTAGTAACTTTGAGTAATACTGTGTATACATAAGCGAGTTCCACCATTTCGAGTAAATGAGAGCATCTAAGAGAGCGTAATATCCCTGTTGAAATTTTAAAATGCTACACAGACTTTACTCGTACATTTTATTTCAAGTAAAATTTGTGTTGATTTGTAAATCAGCTGTTTTGCTTTAAATTTAAGTTTTTGTGTTGTTTATTTGCGCGTTACTCGCGTTCTCACCAGACTTTACACAAAACTGTTCCATGAAAGTTTGTGTAAAGAGCGTAATTTTGCACTTTATTTGTGTTACGCTCACAATTTGTACTTTACTTGTGTTTTACTTGAGTTTTACTACGAGTAGTTCGTGAAACAGGCCTATTGCTTCTTTATTTCAAATCTTCATCCACTAACTTTTTCAAAAAAAAAAACTTGAAGGTGGCAACTAGAAAGTAAATACAGGTTTTTATATATTTATTCCTAAACAAAAAGAAATTTTATTACTTTTAAATTATTAAACAAAAATAAATTAATAAAATTACCAAAAAAAACTGTAATCAAAAAATAGTTCAAAGCGAATGGAGGCAACAGTAGGTAGCTAACGTTATATACCATACTTCCACATATCTCATTTAGGAAATTTTTCTCATTAAGGCCGCTAATGAGGATAATTTAGCATACAAAGAGCTTTCCTATAAATGTGCTTAATATAAATAATTCAACTGATTTAAGGCGAAAAATGTCGACTGCAACCCTTGAAGTAAGTATTCCACTAGGGAAATTACCGAAAATTTAAATATTTGTCATGTGTTTTATATGTAAAATGTGAACAAATAATTTCTTTCACATGCATAATTCT